CGTCACTCAGCCTGCCATCACAGATACACGCAGACAAACCACGTCACTCAGCCTGCCATCACAGATACACGCAGACAAACCACGTCACTCAGCCTGCCATCACAGATACACTAGACAAACCACGTCACTCAGCCTGCCATCACAGATACACGCAGGCAAACCACGTCACTCAGCCTGCCATCACAGATACACTAGACAAACCACGTCACTCAGCCTGCCATCACAGATACACGCAGGCAAACCACGTCACTCAGCCTGCCATCACAGATACACTAGACAAACCACATCACTCAGCCTGCCATCACAGATACACGTAGACAAACCACGTCACTCAGCCTGCCATCACAGATACACTAGACAAACCACGTCACTCAGCCTGCCATCACAGATACACGTAGACAAACCACGTCACTCAGCCTACCGTCACAGATACACTAGACAAACCACGTCACTCAGCCTACCGTCACAGATACACGTAGACAAACCACGTCACTGAGTCATATGTAAAGCATTCAGCCTGCCTCCACCTGGTGAACACCACGGAAGCGTCAGCAATCCTGACATAGCATTTCCGTCACTTGTTTTCACTCGGATTTGACCCTGCCTGGAGGAGACCTGGACAGCCCATCTGCAGCCCCAGCTGCTTAGGGCAGGACTAGAGAACCCGCAGGCGCTCGGAGAACCCTCTAGCACCGTCCCCAGCCTGACAGCGACGAGGAAAGAGACCACTCGTTCATCCCCCACAGCAGTTACCCCTCCTGCCCGCGTCTCACTCACCGATTGAACACCTTAAAGACAATAGCTATTTGGTCGTCTACCCGGAGCACCCCAATCTTGCAGAGACAGCAGAGGAAAGCAGCAAAGGCTGCTTCGTGTCCTGAGGGAGTAAAAACAGCCCAGGTTGACAGTCTTCCAGAAACAAAGGAGTGCGACTCTTCTTGGTCTCACCAGTGTCCCAATCACTGAAACTGCCCCTCCAAGGAGGGAGGTCAACATGGAGATGATAGGTTCTCTTTCCTGCCCAGCAAGACCTAGGCCCTCTGAACCACCAGAGCTATAATTCTACTCCTAACAGGCCCAGGCTATTGCTTCTTAAACAGGCATTTATGTTTAATTTTGTAAATTTAACTCACTCACTAATTCCTGAACACCTACTCTGAGGGCCGTCCCTGCCCATGTCAGACAGTCCCTGCCCTTGACAGTTTATGACAGACATTAAATACACAATCACTTCTATATTCTAGCTCTGAAGGAGGAGAAGGTGAACACTGTCACAGGGGGACCCTGACATAAGGGCTCAAGGGTTCCCTAAGAAAATAATATTTAATCTGAAAGATGAATAAGAATTGGCAAGGCATGGGGGTGAGAAAGCAAAGAGAGCATTCTAGTCAGAAGAAACAGCACGTCAAAAGCCATGAGGCAAGAAAAAATGTGATATGCTTGAAGAACCCTCGGAAGGCCAGTATGGCTAAAGCAGAGAGCAAGGGAGAAAGCGTAACAAGATGAGGCTGAGATCAGATAGGCTTCACAGCCAGAGTCAAAGCTCAGACTTTATCCCCAGAGCAATGGGAGCCACTGAAGGCTTCCAAGCAGGTCCCATTCTAAGCAGGATCACATATGGTCAAAAGGCACCCTGCTTCCTCCCATCATGTCGAATAGGAATGGTCAGCAACACAGAAAACACCGACTGGCCTTTGGACTGAATCCATGGTTCACAGTCACAGAAAACATAATTGGAGGGAGGTGAAGAGAGTATTTCCGCGACTTCCTGTCCTCCTCCTCCAGAATGAAGGTCCCTCCAAGGACGTAAAAAACTTGTGAACTGTTACTTTCACCTGCAGTTTCTGATCATGACCAGCCAGAATCCAAGCCATCATCATTCAGGGGTAACTATCAATCTGAGAGCAACTGAGAAGGGAAGAAAACCCCACCCCCTGCTGACCTGGCCCCTCTCCCCTCCAGGTCTTTCCCTATTAGTCAAAGTACCAAAACTTGATAAACCCGTTCCCTAGCAACAGGGGAAGCAGACACAAAGCTTGCCCAGGACCCAGGTCCAAGGGGGCCCCCTGCAGGCCTACCTCTGTAGCCAGGCAAGGGGAAGGCCCAAGAAAACAGCAGCACTCGCATTTGCCTGCTTTGGGGTGGAAGGGAAAGGAAAGGCGGGCCTACCAAAGCAAGGATCCCTCTCAGCCACCCCCTAACCTGGAAAACACTCCCCCATTAAGGTGTCCACCTGCTCCATTTCCTTGAGAACTCAAGAACACAGGGGATGTGGCTAAAAGCAAGGGCATAGGGAGAAGGTGGCCACAATGCTGCCAGGGGCTACTGAGCTCTCTCATTTCTCAAGGCTTCTGTAAACAATTGCCTTGAGATATAGTAAGTGCTCAGTAAATCACTTTGGTGATGACAATGAGCTCAGAGAGACCATTTTTACCAAGAACAGGAATCAGCTCGGCTCTTATGTCAGCAGGCATATGGCATCAGCTCCCCCTGGTGGTTGGAGCCAGAGCTGCAGGAACAGCACCAAGCCTCCTTGCACCCCGCAGTACTGTACCCCAGCTAGCCCTGTCAGGCTGCTTGCTCAGGGGTCCCCAAAGACAACCCGAAAGCAAAGAGGAAACAGCCCAGAAAGGACGCAGTTTAGCCAAGTAAGTGCCAGGAAAGGCAGGTACCTGTGCCATAGTCGATGCGCGTGGAGTTCCCCACTGACTCCTTTAGGTAAACAGCCACCTCAGGCACAGCAGCTGCCAGATGGGTGGGGACCACTGTGGCCACCAAGTTTTCTGCTTCCTGATAACACAAGAGACACAAAGTGGCGGCAGCAGATTACGCAGCATCCTGGTAGGCAAGCGTCCAGGGGCAGCATCTGACTAGGACCCAGGCTGCTATGCCAGGCGGCCTGGCCCCTACTCTGAACTGGCCACAGAAGGAAAAGAAGGGAGAGCATTTATTCTTACAAAACAAAGACTACTCTGGAGTGGCTTTTCATTCGCTGACTTTTCCTCCAGATGACAGGGTCCTGGGGGCAAGACAGCAGGGATCTGAAAATAAGACATTAAACTTTCCCATCTGGTAACTCATCAACATCCCATAGATGTCGTCTTTCTTCATACTCCCAGCAAGGGAGTTTGTGCCATATGCCCATCAAAGGATGTATGCAAGGATGTTCATAGCAGACTTGTACAGTAGCCAAAACATGAAAACAACCCACAATTGAAATGTCCATCAACAGTAGAATGGATAAATTGTGCTATGTTCATACAATGGAATACTATGCAGCAATGAAAAGATCCGCTGCTATACACAACAATATGGATGAATCATACAGACATACCATTGGGTAAAATAAGCCAGACATTTATATGAAGTTCAAAAAATGTCAAAATCTACCTATGGAATAGAAATCAAAAGAGCTGGGGAGATATCAACTAGGAGGGGCACGAGGGTCCTGCTTAAGTGCTAGAATGTTCTATAACTTAATATGGGTGGTATATACATTAAGGGTAAATATACATTAAGGGTAAAAATATAGTAAGGGCAAAAATACATTAAGCTATACAGCTATAATATGTCAGCTTTAAGTTATCCTATACAGTGGGGCCTTGACTTACGAGACCGAGCTCGTTAAGGAGCTCGTTAACTCAAATTACTCTATCAATTCAATGCAAAAAATCTGCGGAGAGACAGCTGGTATCTCAAAAAACTCGTTAGTCGGGACACTCGTAAGTCAAGGCCCCACTGTATAATAAAAGCCTAATATGCAAATTGTCCCTTCGACTGGGAGTTCGACCACTCGCTATGACGTGCGCTGACCACCAGGGGGCGGCATGGAACATGGTGGGCATCTGCGACGTGGCGCTGGCAGCGGGGCGGCAGTGCCAGTCCTGATGGGCCCCAATGAGAGCAGGACCGTGGCAGGATGGTGGAGCAGGTGAGCGGGCAGCACCAGGCCAAGGTGGGTGCGAGTGGGGCCCAATCGTCCCACCCATTGCTCAGCAGACAGTGACCAGCAGCGGCAGTGGGGGGCAGGGCCACTGCCTGGGTCCCAGGCACTGAGGGAGCCAGGCGGGGCCCAGTCACCCCGCCAAACGCCCTGAAAATGGCAATCAGCGGCAGTGGTGGGGGGCGGGGCCACCGCCTGGCTCCCAAATGCTGAGGGAGCCGGACAGGGGCCCAATGGCTCAGGCGGAAGGGGGTATGCAGGACCCAGGGGCCCAGGTGCTGCCCAGGGCCAAGAGGTCAGCTCGGACCTGCCCTTCCATGCTAGATGCTCGCGCTTTGATCACCGGCCAGGCCTAGGGACTGTACTTGTGCATAAATTTTGTGCACCAGGCCTCTAGTAACTCTATAAAAATCTTTAAAAAAACAACTCAAGCCCATGTGCCATCTTAGAATCCAGAGGCATCCGAGCTACTCTTAGGGAAGGAAAGCATTTTGCTGGGTCCTTGGAGCCCCCTCTGCTCCACGTAAAAACCCCAGGCCAGAGAAATGAGAACCCAAGCTCCGCACTGTCAGTGTGTGGACACCTGGCCTGAGAATCTCCTGGAGACCCAGTGAAAATCTGGATTCTCAGACCCCATCTGGACTGACAGACTGCTTTTCTGAGGATGGGGTTGCAATCCTGCATTTTGTTTGTTTGTTTGCTTTGAACAGGAATCACCTTCATATGATTAAAAAATAAACAGGTGATAAAAGGTATGCACTGAGAAGTCCCACTCCACCCTTCTCCCCACCACCCTCCTCTCCCCTGCCCCCCAAAAGAAACCACAGCTTTATTTGCCTTTTGTGTATCCTTCCAGTGATGTTTCCCTATGCAAACTGGGCAATACAAACATACTTTTTATTTCTCCCTCTTTCTAACCAAAAGGCAGCTTGCAATATGCATCATAGGCCTGGCTGCTCTTCAACCTGATAGTAGACCCCAGAGTCCCTTCCCTCAGTTCCCTAGTGGGACTCCTTATTCCTCCTTACAGCTGCACAGTGCTCCAGAGGCGGAGGTACTAGTTTATTTAACTGATCCCCTGCAGACGGACACCTAGGGTGTTTCGATCAGTTGCCCACTAAACAGCCCTGTGCAGAGAACTGCGTATCCACATGGTCATTCCCAGAGGGTGGCTAAATGCATCTGTACTTTTGGTAAATGGAATTGCCATCTTAATAAACTCCCAGTGATTCTGATATGCCTGAAAGCTCCCTCCAGCCCAGCCCCCAGCCTGTCTGTGGCAGCCTCACCTGGTCAAGTCTGGCATACCAGGTCCTGAAGGCCTTGTTCCCAAATCGAGAGGGCTGGTCCATTGGTGGAGTCTCATCAATCCACCTGTCCAGAGTGTTGAGAAGAGCGACCAGTTTCTCAATGGCCTGTGGAGGCAAAATAGAGGAGCAAGACACAATGACCAAGCCAGAGCCAGAGGGAGTCCCCACCGTTGCTGAACAATGACCCCAAGACATGGAGCTACCTGGCATCCTCCTTGCTGTGCCCCTTCCCAACACACTGAGTATGAAAAAGAGGCCAGGGGAGCATAGTGAGCTTTCCAGAAAGGGACCAGCACCAGGCTGAAGGGACAAGGGTGGCTTCAGCAGCTGGTTCTCTGACTAGCCTCGAGGAGCTGTTGGACAAGCACGAACTGCAGCCCTGACCTTCTTTTTTGTTTTGTAAATATATTTGTATTGATTTCAGAGAGGGAGGGAGAGGGAGAGGGAGAGGGAGGGAGAGGGAGAGGGAGAGGGAGACAGACATCAATGAGAGAGAGAATCATTGATCAGCTGCCCCCCACATGCCCCACACACTGGGGATCGAGCCAGCAACCTGTGCATATGCCCTGACCAGGAATTGAACCATGACCTCCTGGTTCATAGGTCAATGCTCAACCACTGAGTCACGCCAGCTGGGCAAACCTGATCTTTTTCACTAGAATCAGTGTGGTCTTCTATTTAGTACATAACACCTCCTCACCACAGAAAACAGAAGTGTAAAAGGAAGAAAACAAAAATGACCAGTAATCCTAACACCCAGAAATAAGCATTATTTACTTTTTAACATACTCTTCATATTTTTCCAGTGTTTTCTATTGCTTATCATGGTGACAATTTTGAAGGCAACTGGACCGATTCAAAAAACACCATTTAGTTGCCACGGACCTTGAGCCAGTGACTTGAACGCTCTGTGCCTATGTCTTCATCTCAAAGTGGGCATGCTGATAGATACCTCTCGAGGCTGTCATGAGAACTAAATCACACCCCATGAAGGATGCCTGCTGCAGTGCAGGCTCAAGGTGATGGTGTATGATTACACAAGCTCTAAACATGGGTCACAGGGCACACGCGGCTTTGTAGCCTGCTATTTCCTCATGAACCTCATTCCACATCAATATGTAAACATGACTTTACAATAACCTCTAGTAAGTGACTAAGACTTCATTGTGCCAGTGAACTACAATTTATTTACCGAATCCCTCACTGTGAAACGTTTGGGTTCTTTTCAACTGTTCACTACCACAGATAGCCTGAGATAAACAACCCGAAGCTCATCCTCCGTGAGAATGCTGGCCAAAGGTAGCAGCGTGGGTAATGCCTTGTAGGACCACAGGTGTTCAAGATCCCGTCCCTCATCCCCGCTTTTCCCACGGAGGGCCGGGACTAAGAGTGGAATCGGTGTCACAGGCCAGGGCCACATGAGCACACAGTGTTACTCAACGAGAAATGAGGTGAGGCTGCCTATCCGAGACACAGGTCTGTGAGGACGGTGAGAAAGTGCTCCTTGCAGATGAGGCTGACAGAAGTGGGCCACGTGAGGGGCGACGAAAGGCACAGGGAGAACATGATACAGAAGACATTCCGAGTCAGGTGGCCCTGGGAGGAAGGAGCCTGCCAAAAGGAGGATCGTGCCTGTGTCTACTGGGCAGAACAGTCTAAGGCAGCGGTCACCAACCCTTCGGACCTCACGGACCACCAGTGGTCCGTGGACCACCGGTTGGCAACCGCTGGTCTAAGGAGATGCCTCCAGAGCTCCTGGCACTGGTGGGAACTAGCAGGGTGATGCCCACAGAAAAGGTTGTGATAAGGAGGGCAAGGCATGGTCAGGTCTGCCATGCAGAGACGCTTCCCAAGAGCTGTGTATGTACCTGGAGGTGGGCTTGAGCTAATGTTATACATGTTAGCCAATGCCCCCCTGTAGAGCTCCAGGAGGCAGGAATCACATTGCTATCCATGTAAGTGGTGCCTCCTGTCATTGTGTGACATGACAACAGCCTTCATCACCCTGTTCCCTATGCTTGAGGCCTGGGAGGAGAAATGTACCGTAGAGGACAAAGCTCCCTTTATACTGGCCTGAAGCAGAGGCCTGGTGACATAAGTCTGCCTCGCTGAAATGTGGCAGAAAGTGCCGTCAGAACCTGTCTTTGTGAAGAACCAGGTCACCAGGAACACTGATCACAGGGACAGAGCAGACCTGACCTGGGACTTGGGAGGATGCTGCAATAATCCTGGCCGGGAAGCACCAGCAAGCCCGTCCAGAGATGTCAATCTCTGGTGACACACGGAGGAGGATTAGGAAGATGCTCAGGCCCGCAGCCCGGCTGACCAGTGAACAATGGAAAGGCTCCGAGCTCTCTTTCTGCAGACGGGTTTTCAACTGGGGGTGGGAGGCCTCTACTGTTGGGCTAGTTGGGGGAAAAGGTTAGAGGAGAGAGAACTGTGGGCTTGTACCTGAAAACACAAAGAACACATTGAGCTGCACTTCTCCCTAATCCAATGCTTTCTTTTTGGATTTCATGGACAAGTAAAATTTTGGAGACATTTTCTATTCTGCTCTCATTTTAAAAATCAAACAGAACAACAGTAAAAAAAAAATAAATAAAAATAAGACTCTTATCTATCATCTTTATTTTGCAAAAATCAAAAATTCTAACCCAAAGAGGACAGACATAATCTCAAAACGAAGGAGAGCCTTCTAAACACGGACGTAGACAAGCCCACGTCACCCTTGCTTGCTCCTTGCTACAGGCAGTCTGGAAGCCGCCACCCAGACCACTGTGCCCTCTCCCCAGCTGCAACTGCCATTCCTGCAGCGGGAGGCAGCAGTGAGAAGAATCAGGAGACCTACGGAACCAAGCAGAAGACAGCTGGGGGGTACGTGAGAACCTGGGCCCCTTCCCAAGTTCCAACTGCACCTCCCGCCCTGGGGCCTATCATGAAGGCCATCTGTAAGTGTGCGGTGGGCCTGGGGAGCCTGGCCAGCTCCTCAGTAAAGGAATGGCCAAAAAGAAGCTGTTACCGGATGTGAGCCGGATGGTAAACAGCTGGCATTTTTAGCTCACCGTTTGCTTTGTTTTTGTTTGTTAATCCTTATCCAAGGACTTCGTTTTCATTTATGCTTTTTAATGAGAGTGAGGAGGAGAAGAAGAGAGAGAGAAACAGAGAGAGAGAGAGAGAGAGAAATATTAACGTGACACACACATCCATTGGTTACCTCCTGCACATGCCCCCTCACCGGGGATCAAACCTGCAAACCAGGTTCATACCCTTGACTAGGATTCAAACCTGAGACCCTTCGGTGGGTGGGCTGACTCTCTAACTACTGAGCTACTGGCCAGGCTGCTTTGTTTTCTGTACTCTACATAGCCCTATACTGACAAAGCCTGTGTTGCAGAGACATCACTGACAGGCCGCCCCTGTACACACGTAAGTCCTAATAAACTCATGTCTTTCACAGCCAGTCCTCTGGGTTATTTATCTGGAATTGGCAAGCAATACGCTGAGGCCTTCTCGGACCTCAGCTCTTTGCAGGACACAGCTCCCATCCATGGGCCAAGCCACTTCCTGTGAGCTGTGCCTCCTGCTGACCCTGCCAGCTGTGGGCAGAACCTGGGAGCCACTGGAGACTAGTCACCTCTGTACACTGAGTGGGGAGCAGCCCACTCCCCCTGGTGCTGGGATGAACCCCAGCTCAGGAAGAGCCCGAACTGAAGCAACAACACTACTGGAAATTAGAAATGCAAAATAGCTAACGCTTACAATCTATATAATAAAAGGCTAATATGCAAACTGACCGAACGGTGGAACGATCTGTTGCCATGATATGCACTGACCATCAGGGGGCAGACACTTAACACAGGAGCTGCCCCTTGGTGGTCAGTGCACTCCCACAGGGGGAGCACCGCTCAGCCAGAAGCTGGGCTCATGGTGAGCACCGCGGTGGTGGCAGGAGCCTCTCCCACCTTTGCGGCAGCGCTAAGGATGTCCAACTGCTAGCTTAGGCTAAGCCGTCAGTCGGACATCCCAAGGGCTCCCAAACTGCAAGAGGGCACAGGCCCAGGCTGAGGGAAGCACCGCGCCCCCCCCACGAGTGCACAAATTTTGTGCATTGGGCCTCTAGTAGCTAATAATGATAATGTCATTTGTCCGTGCCAGGTACTGTGCAAAACCACCCTACACGTGGGATCTTAGCAGATCCTCCCCAGGGGCCATGAGTAGGTCTGTGGCTCTTCCCACTCTACATATGAGGACATAGAGGGTCACAGGGAACAAGGTCACTCAGCTTAGAAGTGAGAGGTTATGAAAACCCGGTCGGCCTGACTCCAGAACTCAGGCACTTAACCACGCTGCAATTCTGCCAAAAGAACAGCTCCTGTGCTAAGACAACACCTGGTTGGTGTGGCCTGCTACCATCAAAGCCTCAGAGGCAATTAAGGGACCTGGGAGGGATTTGGCAGCTCAGAACCTGCTGGAGTAATTATAACATCCCCTTTAACTAGCCTTCCCACCACATTCCCCAACCCACTGAGCAGAGCAGAGCAGAGCATCTCCTGCCACAGGCTCAAAGAGGAGCCCACTCTCCCATCCTGCACCTGTGCCTCCAGTCCCGGGCACTGAGTGGGCCAGCTCCCAGGAGAAGACTGGCAATCCCCAGCACTGGCTCCCTCAAGTGACAGAAGAGGACCTCGGCCACCCAGCAACCAGTCAGGGCCAATGTGAGCCTCAGGCCAGGTGGAGAGACTGGGCCAGGCCCAGGCTACAGCTAGAGAGCTGGGTGAGACAAGACACTGAGAGGCTCCTCAGGCCCTGGTGTCTCAGATAAGAGGCTCAAGGTGGTTCTGGGCCAACTGGGACAGGAATCCAAGAGGCCACTGGAGGCCTGGGACCCAGCCCTGGGAGATGGCATCCAGCAGAGCAAACAACTACAGGACCACACCTTCCCAGGGATATCAGCCTCCCCACAGCTCTCGCCCTCCCTCCACAAACAAGCCTGTCTCTGAAACCCAGACAAAGAGCACCCACCTAGCAGTGTGCCCTTCAACTCAATGTTTCCACTCCTAGACGTGGAAATAACGCCCACATATGTAGGCGCAAGGATATTCAGAGCAGCAATGTTTAGGGACACAACCTAAAAGTCTGCAGTTAGGGGATTGTTTAAACCAATGAGGGCATGGCTCAGTGAGGCAGCCATTCCCATGGCAGGAGAGGAGGAGCTCACAGGGCAGGTCTGGATGACACTCCCCCACTGTTAGCGGTCGGCTATGAGAGGGAAGACAGCAAGAGGCCAGTGCTAACGTTACACACGTTTCTCAGTAATCTCTTCAGTGAGCACGGTTACTTCTTTTGTGATCTCTTTTGACTTATAATGTATATAAACATACCAGTTAGCAAAAATGCAGGCTATAAAATGTCATCTTTACCTCGATCCAATTTTCTATTCACAGATTTTTAAAAAGTGTGAGAAGTATAGATACAACAATGTCAACTGCACATGTGTTTGGATGATGTGATTTTCTGCACTGGCCCCGCTGTGGGCAATGAGCACACGACTCCATGGAGCTATTTCTGGAAGGCCCTGCCACAGCAGGCACCCTGCCCGTCCTACCTCAGAGACTTTGTACTCGAAGGTCAGCTTCTTCCCCTTCACACCTTCGTTGAGGGTAAGGATGAATCCGATGTAGTCGGCGTATGCCTACCAAACAGGGGAGGAGGACAGTGGGATGTGGAAAGGGCTGTCAGACCCCCACTCTCTCTATACCCCAGCTGCACCCAGTTACCAAAATGCTCCAAGCTGCCCCTGGCTCCCAACCAGGTAGCAGGAGCAGTAGAAAGATAATGTCAAATACCCCGCCCTCCCCCTCCATCCCACACCGCTGGCAAGCCAATGACACCTGGGCCTCCAGCCAGAATTTACTGTGTGCTCACTCTTGCTCCCGGCAGTTTCTTTACACAACAGCCCACGAGCAGCACTATCACTGACCCCATTCTACAGGGAGAAGACCAAGGCTTCAGGAGAGTGACTTGCCCAACGTCTCCTAAGACCAAGATCTCAGTAGATGTGGAGCAGGACCCAGCCAACCAAACCCCACTGTACTACACCACCAGGAGCCCAAGGACCCACCCAGGGTCCCTCTCCCCTGCTCATATTCCAGATGGTTCCCCACCGCTGTCTGCCTTGGTGCAGTGCCCGCTCCCAGGAGAAGTGGTGTCTTCTGCCCATGGCCGGGGCTCTCAGCACACCCATCCCCAGGTCCCGCTGGGCGCTCTCCTCCCTGCTGGGCCGCAGGGTGCACCCAGCCTGGGGATAACAAAGCACTGAGGCACAGGCCCCTAGAGGGGCAGTTCCTGGGAACAAGGGACTGCTCAGGCTTGTTTCTTCATCATCCCTCTGCCCCTCACTTTCTTCCTTCCTCCTTATCTAAGCCTAAAGGATACCAGCCCCAGATGAGTCCTGAGAACCCACCACTCAGTATCTAGAAGCGGGTATTCCTATAGCAGATCCTCTTGCCAGCCTAGGAATGGCTGCAGGTGGGAGTGAGGGACAGTACCTAAAGCAACTCCCCTGGCCCAGGGCAAGCCTGAGCCCTCATCCTGACTGGCAGTGCCCACAACTGCCTCTGCAAAGCACACTGGGATGCAAGGAGAGGAGGGAGCAAGGGGCAGTCCCTGCTCCTATGTGGGTCCGAGTCTCTTGGTGACTAAAAGTCAGGACATTCTGACAAAGGTGACTGTGTACAAAGTCTCTACAGATGCCACCACCACCACCACCATCGTCATCATCATCACAAGAGCATCGTTCAGCATGCACATCAGGAGAGAAAGTGACCAACACTTCCCTAAAAGTGTTGGTGCCTCGAGCAGGACTGGCACACTTTGCCTACAACGGGCCAGACAGTAAATACTTTAGGCTCCCTGGACCATACAACTCTGCCCTTGTCGTGTGAAAGCAGCATGGACAACAGACCCATGAATGAGCGTGGCTGTGTGCCAACAAAACTGTATTTACAGAAACAGGCGGAGAGCCAGCTTCGTCTGGCAGGCATCATTTGCCAACCTGTGGCCTAGACCCATGGTCGGCAAACTGCGGCTCGCGAGCCACATGTGGCTCTTTGGCCCCTTGAGTGTGGCTCTTCCTAAGCCTTAGGAGTACCCTAATTAAGTTAATAACAATGTACCTACCTATATAGTTTAAGTTTAAAACTTGGCTCTCAAAAGAAACTCCAGTCGTTGTACTGTTGATATTTGGCTCTGTTGACTAATGAGTTTGCCGGCCACTGGCCTAGACCAATGTAAGCACAGCAGACTCCTCACCGGAAACCTGCCAAGCTGCCAAGACCCCAAGCCTGCCCTTCTCTACAAGGGACACCCCACCCCCGCTGACCAGACCAGGTCGGCACCTGGCTGGAGCTGGAGCCAAGGCCTTCCCTGGGAATGTGACATTGGCTTTCTTTTTCTCAGTCCCAGTCTTTCCGCAGCCTGACCACAGCCGGGAGGGACGCGCTGTTGTCTTCTGCAGCACAGAAAGCTGGTCTGACCCACAGTGCTCTGGGCCCCAGTTCCAGGTATTTTTAGGCTCAGTCACTTCCCTGGCCTCGGCTTTCATGTAATAACCTCTCCCTTTGATGTACTGCTCCCCAACTTGCTGTTACTTGTAACCAAGAATCACGTAACACACTCCTTCATTTAGGACACTCACGTCAGCCAATACAACTCTCAAGGGGCGATGGTGTATGAGAACCAGGAGCACAACTCTGTAGGGTTACTCTGGCCCCGGCCCCCAGAGATTTCCCACTGAAGCATCTCTGAGCGTTGCCCCTGACGGGAGGGACAGTCATCTCCTCTGTCACCTCTCTTCCTAGCTTCTAAGAGCTGTGGCTCCAAGGGCGTGAGGGTCAGGAGCTCACAGCCCATCATGTCCAGAAAACCAGTGTCTCTGAAAAAGCCCCAGTTTCTCCTCTTGGCTCTGACCCTGCAGGGTAGACCCCACTGGTACCTGAGAACGCTTCCATTTGCCCATGTCCGGAACCGTGTGGATCTCCTTCTTCGGAATGATAAAGCTCTGAGTGGCTGGAGGGGTCTCCTCCGAAGAATCTTGACAAAGAAAATGAAAAAGCAAACAAATAAATAGAAACCCTTCCCAACACACACACACTTTTAAACCAAGACTCCAACACCCAAGCCCCAGTGTAAACCAGACACAGACTCCCAGGACAGAGTATTTAAACCAAACCCACTGGCCTCCTGACTTTCCTTTCTCTGCAAGGAAAACAAGGTATCAGTTGTTGAGGGAGAAGCCTAGGGGACCTAAGGAGGAGGCTAGGGAACCTGAGATAAGAGCAAAGCAAACCTCTACCTAATCCGAATTCAACCAGGGCCCAAGAAAGAGACCAGAAACTCTTCCTCCTCCCACCTGTTCTCCCAATGTTCCCAGGACCCAACATTGAGACCCCCTCCGATTAGTAAATTGCTACTCTAAGATGCCAAATAGAAAGCTTTGTAGGTCAGGCTAGTAACCTAACCACATTGTCTTTATGGGAAAATGTGCTCCACGTTCCAAATAATCAACTTGCAATGATATTTGGGAACAGAGCCCTTCTGTACATTGGGGAACTGCTCCCTGCAAGGGTCAGTCCCCCTGACATTGTTTCACAGAGAGGAAAACCTCCAGGCCACGCCCTGTTACCAGGGGAAAGGTTACCCTATAGGAAGCATTGCAACAAATCACTGACGCAACACACAAGTTGCCAGAACACAAAATCCCAAGTCAGAAAAGCAAGCCTTCCGACACAGGACTGCGACAAACGAAGTCAGACCCACAGTCTCTCCAGCCTCAAGGTTCTGCCTCTGACAAAGGGACCACCGGACAGTTGGATCCCCTAAAACCTCTCAGTATAGATGGAAACATACCAAGTGTTAGAGATGTTCCTAACGACCCCCCCCCCGCCCCGAAAGTGTTATGTAGCATCATCTACCATTTAGGAACCAGTCCACGTGTTCAACTTGTACCACCTTTGAGCAGGATCACAGGATTCCCACACTGACTTAACTGCCATGTCCCATGCGCTGCCCACATCCTCTGTGGACACACACGGCAGCCCTATGCAGGCAGCCTCAGGTTTAAGAAATGAGGGAACAGGCTCCCAGGGGCTGGGACTTGCCAGCAGAGTGAGGTCTGTGTGCCTCCAGAAGCCCAGGTGTTCACACTACACCGAGAGAAGCAGTTCGCTCTACTTGCCCCAAAACGCCCTGCTTCAAACTTCCGAGAAGGGCCACACGCCGGGAGCCTGGATCCTCCAGCCATCTGACCTCCCGGGCCTTCATCTCGTTCACGCACAGGTTCTCGCCCTCACCCACCACCCGTCTTCAGGGACACATCTCACGGGGATTCTTATTGAGAATGCCTTCTATCTCCCGATGCCATTCCCAGAACTTCTGAGGCAGCTGGAGGGGGGCGGGGGGACACTCAGCCAGGGGACCATACAAGGTCCCGGAAATCATTTGGTCCGGCCCTGCCTAGCCATCAGGGGTGAGTTAATTAAATGTCTGGCCACACAGAGCAGGCTAATTTTTAAGCTGATAAATGTGTATGGCCCCCATCAGTGGTTCTCACCCTTCCGGCCCTTTAAATACAGTTCCTCATGTTGTGACCCAACCATAAAATTATTTTCGTTGCTACTTCATAACTGTCATGTTGCTACTGTTATGAATCGTCATGTAAATATCTGATATGCAGGATGGTCTTAGGCGATCCCTGTGAATGGGACGTTTGACTGGTTGAGAACCGCTGCCTTAAATGATGTTCTGAATATCCAATGGCCCTCAGCAGGAAAAAGGATCCCCACCCACCCCTGTTCTAAGGGCACACGCACAGAAGTTTTGTGTTAAACAAAGTAATGTCTGGTTGCATGCCCTAGGAGATCACACCCAGGTCTTTATTCATCTTTGTTTTTTTTCTTTTTGTTTTTTTGCAGGGGTGGGAGGCTTGTAGGGGAGGGACTCTTGATCTTGAACATTTCTGAGACCTTCCCAGAGATCACAAAATGTAAGAGGGTGGAAGGAATAGCAGATGCTTTCCAAACCCTAGCTGTGTGTTTGGCTAACCTATTTGCTCCTGATATAATTTTAAAAGTCTTCTTAGCTCAAGGTGGGGGTGAGGGGGTGTCAGCAGCACCCCCACCCCCACCCCCGGGCCGTTCTCCAGGTTGCAGGCCTCTATCCCTAGCACCTCCACCCCCAGCTATTCGAGTGAACTTGAAAGAGGCCACGGTGCAAATAAAAGTCACAGATGGTGATGCCAGGGAGAGACGCATCTCCTTGCACAACCAGCCTTTTTAAATTAGTGGTTTAGGCGACCGAGAGCAGTTTCTCTCAATAAATTCTCAGCCACCGAAACTCCCGAGTCCGGCCTCCCAGAGGGAGGGAGGAGTGGGGGTGCGGGGGGCCGGGCGTGGAGGCAGCTGGGGATGGGGTCCAGCAGGCCCAGCCCACGGGGCACCCCTCCCGCGGAGCAGGGTCGCATAACGAGGGCAGCCCCGTCCATGCATCTTCCCCGCCGGATAAGGGTGACCTGGGTCCGAGCAGCCCGGGCGTGGAAAGGCCCCGCTCCCGCCGAGGCGTGGCCCACCAGACCCTCCGGCAGCCCGGGCTCCCCAAGTCCCGGGGAGCGCCCCACCCGCCAGCCTTTCGCCGCGGCCCTGGGTTCTTGCCCTCCTGCCAGGCCCCCTCAATCGCTACCTCTTCTTCAGGCGCCCATCAACCCCCGGCCCCTCGAGGGTTCCCCCATCTCCGGACCCTCCCGGGCCGGAGGCCCCCAACAAAGCCCTTTCCCCGGCTTGGGTCCCCTGGGCCGGCCCCCCGCACACCCCGAAA